AATATAACTTAACCCCACATATTTTGAATGGTCGTGTACACAGACATTTGCCAAAGTGGTGTGTGTAGGGGTTTACCTCGTGCAAACAAGTGTACTGAACATGATAAGGGGCCACTTTCTCTTCTCCTTTAATTTCCACACTTATCTGCAGTCTGATGGCCCCTGATACCGCTGACTTGTCTGTGCGTTTTTCTGCAAAAGATTAAACATGGTCGTTACATATCTGATATAAAAGACAAGTCTCCATTTATCGCATCTCGTCCTAATGATGACCCTTGACCAAAGTCTAGTAGTAGATTCACATTCAGCAGTGACATTTAATTAACTTTTATTGCAAGAGAAAACAAACAGTATCTTCAAATGTATCAGACTCAAGATTTTAAAATGAAAACTAATATTGAATATTTTATCAGAAACAATGTATCGTTTCAGGAAGCCATTTTACTGAACAGATTAGAGATAAATGTACTGAGCTCTAATGAAAATCAAAACCGAAGAACAACTTTCTAATTTCTATGATATTATCATGCAAAGAGAGAAGCAGCCATGTGGCCACAGACTAGTTAAACCATCTGACTGACTGTAAAATGTCCAGTACCAATGTTCGACATATTTAATTCATTATGCAAGTTTTCATGAATAGCTAAAGTAAAATTTGCCATATTTCACAGTTACAATCTGTAATCATATCAGTTATGACCTATACTGCAATCGCAACATTTAAACAGACAGATGGCTTAATTTCTTGTGCGACATACATTTAGTTTGTAGTCCTAAAACTCAGAAAACGACCACTGTCTAGTCAAGGGTTCTCTCGAGAATTTCTAATGGGTTTTTCGAATATCAGTTTTAGATTTATGAGAAATATAAGGTCTTCATTAGCCCTCATGGAGCAACTTTAGCTTTAGTTTTTTTAACAACTTGCATTAAGGCACATGCAGGTTTCAAAATTCATGTCTGAGATGTGACAGAGTGTAATTTATTTTGTAGAACAAAACATAAAACCCTTTCAAAATTCCAGAGGGGGCCCACAGCAAATTAGACTTCAAGTCCGTCTACAAATTGATGTCATGACTGTACAGCCGTATATGAGGAGTGCTACTTTCAAAGCCCCAGAGAATAGAAAAAAGATCATTTAAAGAAATCAAATAACACCCCACAATGAAACACACATAGACCGAGGAACTTACCAAGGTTGTACCAGACATCCATTTCTCCGCTGAGGGTTCGGACCTCGATAATGCTCTGACCCAAAAAGTCATCAGATTCCCTCTTCAGACGC